CCCCTTTCCCTCCTGGTATCGCCACTGTCACCCCTGGTCCTGAGAGATTCATCTGTCCTAGATTCCCTGCTTTTCCAATTCCCATCTGTACCGCTATGCATCATCTGGTCTAACCAGGTCTGCAAGGCAAAATTGGGGTCCTGGTAGTTGGGGACAGGAGAGTTCTTAACCTACTGGTTTTGGAAGCTGAGAAGCACCCTGATTTGTAATGCCAGATCCCTGTAAGGCTCAGGTGTACGATGAGTCTGGAAGTGGGGATGAAGGTAAGGCTAAATACAGGATTGGTTTGAAGTCTGTTGAAGAAGCACTTACAAACTAGATCTCTTCCTATATCCTGCTCAGTTGGATCATTGTCTCCCCTGCACCCTAACAGAAATTGGGGAAGGTAAAAAATGTCTGTAGGCGAGAAAACCAAACCGGAGGCAAAGTTGGGGAGAGGGGAATCTGGGAATTAGGTGAAAATTACACAAATTTGCGTGTAAACACCTCCAGCTTTTTCTGCTTGGCGGAATTCCTGACTACTAGACTTATTCCCTCCAGGCAAGTAAATTACCCTTCTGAGGTAATTTGGTGTCCACAAAAAAATGTCCCCCACCAGATCACTCAAAGTGTAGCCATACTGTCTTCACAGAAGCAGAGAACCAAGGATCACCAGGTAGATACTGGTGGGAAATCTCAAAATACAGAAGAGAGCGGTGAAACCAGAACCTCACCCCTGCCCATCCCCAGAGCTGTCTTACAAGAAGTAGGTTATGCAAAGCCTCTAAAATGTCCGACAGCAGAACACGAGGTGTTTATTACCATCTTCAGGGATAGAAGATTTTAAATTGGGCAGTATGTACAAGGGCTCTTGGAAATTCAATGCAGAGTTGCAATCTCGGAGGCCTGATACCCGAATGGTAGAAATTCCAGAAGGAAATCTAAGAGGATTCAGATTAACACCTAAACCAAATGAAATACGGTCCAGGTTCAGAAGACTTAAGAGTACAATCATAGGATATGAAAATATTTTGCACTAAGGAAATCTCAAAGTTGGGGGAATAAAAGATGTTCTACAAATTTCTAAGAAGCCATGCTGGGGTGCATTCATACAGGACACCAGATTTGTGTGTAGCAAAGTTGGAAACTAGGTGACACAGAAGAGCCAGCAAAGACGAAGGTCAGTGTGGCCTATAGTAAAACGAGGGAAAAACAAAGGAAAACAAACAAGCAAAACAGGGCGCTCCCACCCTTTCCGCCAGGTTCATTCCGGGTTGAGGAAGAGACCCCGGAACAGACCCAACTCTGTAGACGTGGTGAACTAGCGTGAAAACCAGAACTGGAACCACTGCCGGTCGCAGTCCGGCTAAGAACTTCAGTCTCTCTGAAGGGAGCCTAAGCGTTGCATTGTGGCCACGTCTCTTGCCCTCCTCAAATGTGGTTGCTAACCAAGCTGCCTCTGCATTTTCACCGAGCAGTCACTCATCAGGCTCCTAAAAGAACCCAGCGGGCCTCTCCCAAGACTCCCATTCTAG